TGTGGGCTTAGCGGCGGACCTCACCGAGGAGTGGAGGAGGAGCCACCCCCTACCGGACACCTCCCACCTCCAAGAGACCTCCCACGGACCGGGACAAGGGGGTGGAGGCGAGACTAGAGAGTGGACAGTGACTGTGTGGATGTGATCGTGTGACATTGTACAACGGTGTGTATTGTATGTCTGGATTGTATAGGGACCTGTAAATTATTCCCGTCGCCCTTGACGTATCAACTTCCCTCCTGCCTGGTGCCTGTAGACTATTGAGTGAGTAGTATCCATCCAATATATCTATTGTTATTGTTGCTGACCAGCCTAGTCCTTCCGAATCTCACCGGTACTCATCTAATTGGAGTCAGTACATATAGTAGGGCCCTTTTTCGTACACGGAGAACACGTAATACCATTCGGCGGCCGCGCCCACAACAGTCGAGTGCTCGGCGTGATCTCTCGGAGTTGTGATTCCTGCACTCTCGAGTTCTGCATGCGGACGTGTCAACACCGTGAAATGTGCGGGGTTATGCATGAGGAACAATAGTGAGCGGCATCGCAGAAGACAGTCAAGTGGGGAAGTAGACATACTTTTCTTTCTTACTGTGTACGTTCTGTAGGACAGTCTCCTATGTCTGAGTCTTAGCTATATAGGCGCCCAAATCCATTGCAGTTTCGCTTTCATGGCGTTGGTATTCAATAATGGGTAGATTTGATGAGCCACGACTTGGACTGGATAGACGCATCCCCAACGTTCTTCCAATATGAATGGCTCTACAATTGTATGCAAATTGCTTCATGTAGATAGACCTGAAAATTAGCAAGTGTCTTCCGCATGAGAGCAAGGGACACGTGCTCCTTCCATCTATAACCGCCAATGATTAGGATTGAGATAGGAAAGGAGAGCATTTGAATGGTTCGCGGGTACTCGACTACGTCATGATGATATTTCCGAGTGGTCCGATTTATTTTTCCCGTCTCAAAGCTGACCCGAACTTAGGAATGTAGAATCTAGAGAACGAGACCTGATCTCTTGGTTCTCTAATAATGGAATGGATTAAACGGATCCTAAAGAACACGAGAATGAAGCAGGTGATAAATAAAACCACCCATGAGTAAGATGTCACTACCTGCAATCGATGGAATCGCGCCTATAGGGGTACAAATTCAATCCGGGAACAGTGCATTGTTGTGATTTGATATCAATTCACAAATGGCATTTGCCTGATGATATGAATTCCACTAAAATTCAGTGGCATAGTGAAGTTGGGGGGGGGGGGGGGAAGGTAACATTTTTCGTCCGGCGCAAACGTTCAGGATAGGATAGTCCTTTCAGTTGAGAGTTTGTCTCAAAATATTTTAAACTCATAACAATTGCAACGCTTCCATACGTTATAAATAGGCTCTTCTCCTTTCCTTTAGAATTAGTCAGATGAGAGAATTATCAATGCGTATTGCCAAGGAATCATGAGGTAGACCAGTTACGACAGTTGACTAGTAGGTGTCCCATTCACAGTGTCGTGCTTCTTATGTCCATAACAAATTTCTTATTATTATTATCTTCTTGTTATTTCTTGAAAGTGCGCACCCGGAGTAGAAAGTAGACACGGTTAAATGCTGTTGGATTCCTCGCTCTTATGGCTTTTCTTTTTCCCAGATGGGTTTTACAGTCGGAGATGAAATGCCATGAAACATTCATCGTAGTTGTGGGCCTATTCGGCTTCCTTCTGAATCCGAGTTTTGTGATATCTGATGGGAATGCGACCGAGAATGAAGAGGCGTCGAGTTTTTGGTGCACTGGAGACACGGACGTGCGGCGTCAGTGTGCTTTCAGGAACCTCTGTTACAATCAGCAGGACAAAATTTTCTTCATTTTTGTCTCCAAGGATTCCAAATTCCACGGTGTCAACCTGCCAGGTCCGGGAGATCCCGATCCCGACCACTTCCTCGTTCAGTTGCTTGCCTCAACTTATCCAGCAGCAGAGGCAATCGAATACGAGGTGCTTCACCGCCGAGCGGAGAATGCAGTTGTGAGGTATCTGGAGGAACCTGCATTCCTCATGACACCACTGTTGCCCTTAAATCTGGCCCATGTCATCTACGACGATCTCCTTCCTCTATACTTTACCTACAAGGCTCTCTGTGCAGGGGAGGTGATGGATTGCGTGAGGAAGTACAAACTGACCCTGTTCCCACGGCAGCAGGTCCACTGCGAAGACTTGCTCCTTTACCGTGCTTTCAGTGACAGGGGAATCTTGTCACTGGATCTACGCGATCAGGAGGGGATCGTCTGCTTCCGAGAGGCGTTTGGCGGCTTCAAGACGGATAAGAAATACTACGATGTAGGTCTCATTGGGAACGTGGTGGAAGGACCCATTCTTCACACGACTCTGAAGGCTGAAGAATTCCTGGAATTTCGAGATTTTCTGCTTAATCGCGTCTTGCAGGAGAAAGGGAACTCGAAAAGTAGAGATTGTCCCATCGTTCTCGTCTCGAGGCAATCCAATCGGAGGATCCTCAACGAAGAGACAGTCAAGAGGAGCCTGGAGTCCGCATTTGGAAGGAGGAGAGGCGAGAGGGAGCAAATCCCAGTTTGTGTGATAAGCCAGGAAACGTGGGGATTATTGGATATGATTGAAGTCGTTTCAAAGGCTCGGTTGCTCGTCGGGATCCACGGTGCTCTGCTTCAGTTGAGCATGTTCTTGCCGAGAGAATCCGGACTCCTGGAACTCTTCCCTTATGCCCTCAACCCCGACCACTTCACTCCCTTCCGAACAATGATAGAATCCTTCATGCCAAATGTCAAGTATCGCTCCTGGAGGAACACGTACAGAAACCATTCGTTCGAGGGGGACAAAGTTCCCTCCGATGCTCGCCTTGACACTGTGTCCCCGGAAACACGGGAATACATACTGGGGTTGGAGGAAGTCCCTCGAGTGCCCTGCTGCCACGATCCCGTTTTTAGGTATTGGTTGTACCAAGACACGCTGGTGGATTTGAGGACGTTCGAAGCAGATATGATGCCTATCCTCGAGGGTCTTCCCTGATTCTTGGGTTCATATTCAGAGGACTTACGCTGAGGAACAGGTGTTTCGCAACTGAAGGTTGGGAAATAAAAAAAAATATTTGATCTAAGTTTAGCGGCTGTGAGTCTAGTGTGCTTGCATACTTTGTGAATTGATATCAAATCACAACAATGCACTGTTCCCGGATTGAATTTGTACCCCTATAGGCGCGATTCCATCGATTGCAGGTAGTGACATCTTACTCATGGGTGGTTTTATTTATCACCTGCTGAGGCAGAACCTCTAGAAATTTGTGTTTTCTCCATTCTCCATCATAGGGGTGGTACGAATTCAATCCAGAAAGATTATAAAATGTTACTTCATAGGTTGCCTGATGAATATTATTAGCTAAGAAGTAATACATGGAAAGTACTTATGAACAGCTAAATGGGAACCCAAGGGAAAAGGAATTTCAGTTACTTTATCCAACGATTTTTTCCCACTCTTCGCCGATGCGACAGTGGAAACTAATTTTCCCTTAGTTGGATGAAAAGATGATGGATGTTAATGTTCCAAAAGGCATGGAAAATTTGGAAATATTGGATGATGGATGTAGGTCTAGTTTGGTGCTGAAACTGGAAACAGGAAAGGGTCATCGAAAAGTATTCCTAGATAATATCACCATCATTGGTAGACTTTTTTTTTTTTTTTACTATGGATTGCTGTTCTAAAAAGTCTGGAAATTACAGTGCATCTTGCTAGATTTGGCTTTAAGATTGAATAATGGGAAAAGATTCAATGCCTATGTGTCTTTCAACGAGTCTCTTTTTTTAAATGAGGCCAAAATATGATACAGTTCATGCTCAATGTTTTTTGCTTCACCTGAACCACTCAGCAGTTATGAAGTGCGAGGAATTAGATCAATGTAATGTTCAGGTCAAGCTGCATCTTAGAATAATCACAGATGAAAGTATCTTCTTTGAGGGTAGCAGTTCATTAAATATCCTTATCTTACCATGGGGAAACTAAAATACAGTGGGAGAACATTCACTAGATACTGTGAAGCATTCTGGAACCAGAGGGTTGTCATTGGGAACTTGATCATTTCCCTTGCTTCTCAAGCAGTTTGTACAGGCTTGCACCTTTTCTTGAAATAGGGGTATAGCCATCTTCCAATAATATGGTACAATTGTGCCTTGAGTATTACACGTTCCATAATCAAGTGTTATTCATCCACAGTTCAATTCCCCCTTGACTGATGAGTCTGAAAATTAGGACAGTAATACAAGGCACCATTGCACGTCATAGTAAGAATCGTGAGGGAATATAAATGTTTCTCATACAATTACCATTGACTCACATTGTATCTTCACCCTGCAACTTGAAATTCAGTACATTATTTTTATTCACAAAGATCTTGTAAGAGTACTAGGTTTCCTCAGAAATGTTTCTATACTTTTAGAGACTTCAATGGAAGTAATCGGGAATCTATCTGTTTTCATGAAAGATATCCTATGGGAATGGGAATCTGACTACTCACCTGTATGGAGAATAACAAATAAGCAGCAACATTAATTTGATTCAATTTGAAAGACATCTAGCCTTCATAAGCTCAAGGTATGCCATGAGTACACAACATCTTGATGAAAACTCCATCAGTGTCAACTAAATTGTATTCTTATATTAACCTACATATAAGCTCTGCATTGCACAGTAGTACAAAGTCATATTTTTCTGGCCAAAACTCAGATAAACTAGTTATTTTGTATGATTCTGATACATTACACACCATTTACATTATAATCCAATTTCAGAAAATTGCAATTGCTATTTATAAAAATTGCATAATCATCTTAATATAGTGAAAACTAAAAAAAAAATTTCAGTGACCTTCCATCCCCTGGTTTTATAGCCATAAATTATACCATAGGAAGAAAGGTGTGATCTCCTAGATAAGCATAATGGAGCCTTCTATGAGAATGTATTTTTACATCACATGACCTTTTATAATTTACATTATTATGGGCATAGGAGTATCACAGAGTTGAGCATTTATGGTATCAAATGATTGCACTTTAGTAACAATATTAAAACTATTTGCCCCTACTAAGCAGTTTGACAATAGAAGCATATGTCATTCCAGCTTCCTCTTTTGTTCTCAAAGAGATTCAAGATTTGGATTATGCACCTGATTAGGTGATAAGAAAAGGAGTCAGTGACATCCTTCCAGAGTTGCACAAAATCCTTAGGAAAATTCCCAAAAGCAACAATAGGTACCAAATTTTGTTTCAGTGATTTCTCATGAATGAGAAGTGAAGCATGAGGCATCACCAGCAACAGCTGGTGATGCCTCAAGTTTCAATGATATTGCCTAAGATACAAGAAGTAGTAGCTAATTTTCATGCAGCCACTAATATACTAATAATGGATTTAAAAAATACTCAACTCTTCATCTAATTCAAACATTTTTGTAGCAGCAGACACAAAACGTGACAGACTACTATTTGAAGAAAAGAGTTCAGACAAATAAGTGCCATGCCCATTATAATGTAAATTAGAACATGATCTCATAAAATGTATAAGTACTTCCCCAAAGGAGGCTTCAGTATAATTATCCAGCTGTACCACACTTTTATTCTTCCAACAAGTTGGTATCATTTCACCTATAACAACTATGGCATTGAAGGTCACTGAACCTTTCATTGAGGTTCAGTGAAAGTTCATCATTCTTTTAGGAAAATTATGAGTGAAAGTAAGAGAAAAGTGATTGCAGCTTTCATAATTTGATTATTATGTAACTGGTTTGAACTGTATCAGAATCATATACAATAACCCATAATCTAAGAGTTTGTCAGGAAAACGCTACTTCTTCCTACTGTGCAATGGCAAAAATGCACTAGATCATCCTCTTCTGGGTTTCTCTTACATGCACTAAATTTCATTGACCATCTTGAGAATTGTTAGAATGATTGGAATTGTGGAAAATTCCAGATCAATTTGGGATTTGATAGACTTTCACATGAGAATCATACATGAGAAACTAGAAGGAAGCACCATTAGGAAGTCATGGGAAGTGTTGCAAGGCTTCATCATCCAAGGCCTCCACTTAAGTGCCACAATCCCCTTTAGCAATTGATGCAAAAAAGATAGCTAACTTGATATGTATGAAAAGAAAAGCAATTCACTTTGAAAGTTCACTTAGTGGTATATATCTCCATTTACATAATAGAAAATAGAGTTCTTCAATGTAAACATTCAAAATCAGAGAATGTTCAAGTTACTGAAGACAGATGATAAAAACTTCAGGGGATGCTCAAGACTTCACTGAACACTGCACATATTGTCACAGTCAAGGACTTCCTCCCCATCACAGATTTGCAGGACTCATTACTCTCGACGAAGATTGTCCAGCCTAGCTTGCAAGTCGGCATCGGCATCAGGCACGGCTGCAACTGCAGCAGCAGCAGCAGGCACCTTGGCAGCTGGATTTAGAGAATTCGAGGCCTGTGGAAGTCCTGACAGCTGATCTGTGAGCTGGAGACCAAGTTCATCCAAAATCTGTGACACTATGGCATCACTGGAAAAGAGAAGAAAAAATGGGAATCAGTCTCAATCTGATGAAAAGACAATGGATTCATTGATCTAGTAAGGGTCACTGACAAAGCCTAAGCTGTCTGGCAAAAGCAACTGCAGAGAGGATACACTTACATCTTCATAGTAAATAGAATAAAAAGCAATATACATCATGAAACTCAGATCAACTGTATCTAGATGAGTATACTGAACAATTAAATAATATATTCATATTTATTATGTGAAATGATGGAGGACTGATGGGTGTCATAGAATCTTGAGGTAGTGCTGTTTATTTTAAGGCTATTAGCAGATCTTACTAAATAAAAGAGAAAGCTAAGGAGATAATTCAGAGCATGCCTCAGTGTACAGTTAAATATGTCCCAAGCAAAAGGGGGATCAAACTGACTGCAGAATCCCAGAGTAAAAATTTTCAGGTGCATAAGTAATGTGTAAGTGATCAGGGGACCCCACAGAGCCTGGAAAATGAAAGAAAAAAAAAGAAGCAAATTGAAAGACACTAGCAACAAGATAATGGAAGCCAAGCCCAGGAGATTGATGGGTTTTACTCCCCTATCCACCTAAATTGGCCTTGGCTCCTCATAGCATTAGACTCTAACATGTCACATAATACAGTAGATTGTGGAGGTGCTCTACACCAGGTATGTCATTCTCTTCTGGTGCTATTCTGTTCTTCCTTCAACTCATAATGCACCATTTATGAAGAATATATTTTGCCAATACACGAATGCACAATTAATGATACAGGACAATGCAACAATATTTTTAAATGAACATACCTCTCCTCCTCGTCATCTTCATCTCCCATGGCATCATCGATTGTATCGTTGAGGAGTTCTTCCTTCATGTCCATTATCTCAGACTGCTTCTCAAATTCTTGCATGATCTGCTGAATCTGTGGCAACTTCAACTGTCTATGAAACAAATAAACCCCATATTGGTTAAGTAGAATGGATAAACTTTCCTTCCCTGAATGAATTTTCCATGGGAAACTTATGTTTGAAAGAAGCAATGAGTACCATTCAATTTTCCACAGATGCACAAGGAACATCAGATAGGTACCAATTCCACAAGTATTACCACTTGCAGAAGAGTGAATTCATGCATACAGTACTATCATAAACAAATAAGCATTATTGGCCAGAGTTCAGGTAAACTGATGACACGTTACTATACTTTTGCTGAATTTCTATTTTGACTACAAGTAATAATATTAACTTTAAAAAAATTGCAAAAGGATATCACTTGGGTGAAGAAATGGTACTCTATGTTATTACACAAGTTCATATAGATTTCTTTGAAATAACTTCTGATAAGTGGTCACAAGTCTCAAAACATTACTTGCAGCTGAACAAAGCTACAATATGATCATCCTCTACTAGCCTCTAGTAGAAAATTACTATGAAAAATGACAATTCTCAAATGCCAAAATTTTTCTTCAACCTGGAACATTCTCAGTGTACTAGTTCAAGCAATGGTCTTGTCATGCAAATACTACTCCTGGTGTGTGGGTTAAGGGGACACAAGTACTACATCTTCTCTATGGCTTCTCATATTGTTCAGAAGACTTGGAATGTTCATATTTCAAACATTCAACATGTATCCAAGTTATTGTTTTTGCTTGATATGAAGCTCAGCCAGAGATAATTTCTTACCTGTTCATGTTCTGCATAGCTTTTGTAACTCCCTTCATTGCCTGTGCCATGGCATTCTGAGACTTCAAGGTTTGAATCTTCAAGGATACTGCTTGAATGTTAGCTCTCATCAATATGAACTTCTTCACATATCGACGGGTCCTTACCAGGTCTTTCGCCATGATTTTCACAGCATCCTACCAGAAAAAAAGGACAAACTCAAACACTGAACCAATGAAGTGACTAAAAATAGAATATAAAATGCAAAAAATCTAGATAGTGACAGTACTATCTCAATTAGCACTGAATTGATTAATTTATTATTCATCTTGTGAAGGGAAGTTTCCTGGAAAACTCCAAGGACGATACTGGGATGCTAATGGATTTCCAAGCTTGGCCTCCACCACTGCCACTACTTTTCTAAAGTCTAACAATGTGACATGGAATCCAAGACCAGAAGAATGAGGTGATATGCTTGCAACTAGCTTTTCTTTGCATTTTTCTATTCCAGTTCCAATACCCAGCCTCAATGGGAAGCAAAACCAGGAGTAAACACTGTTTTCACCTATTTGATACACATCTAGGATCTTTCTGATTTTGTTTTCAAGGCTTACCTCATACCTCTCGGGGATGACAGTAACCAGCCCATAACAAATATGTTAAAAATGGGAATGACATCAAGAAGGCAGCACCTCAACTGGTGAATAAACAAGGTCCATTCTGATATGGGCAACCCAGCATGGCATTTCACCTATTCATTTTCTTGATGCCTGTGATGCCTTTTTTGAAACTGCTACACCCTTTTCATTTCATGCATCAATTCACCACATTCTAAATATTGCTATGAAAGGCAACAGGAATCTCAAATATATATCAAAGGCAACAGTAGTGTGACTCTGTCTATTTCAGAAACTGACTATCAGTGTATCTCTTTCAAGCTGGCCCAACACCAGTCAGTCTCTGTGTGATTGACCTGCTGTCCCCTTAAGTCCTCCTCTAAGGAATCTTCTATTTCTCACCTCTACTGTCAATGCTTACTGCTATCATTGAACTGATCTTTCAGCCAACTCCTGTTTGGTTACCACTTCTTCTCAACTCAAATTTCTCTTTGCAATATGCTGCTCATTTCTTAGTACACCAAAAATATACCTCAACATTGTTCAACAAATCAATGCAAATCAGTGTGCACTATCGGTCAGTGTCTTTCAATGCCTTTGTCAAAATAGCCTCTATTTTTAAAGCATGAAAAACTGCTAAAAATCATATGGTTAGAAAAAAATCACTTCTCTTACATCAGGCAATCTGGAGAGAAAGCAAAATTGAAACTTAAACAGCTTCTGCAAAAAATGGCCCAACAGATAGACCTACGAATGTGATACTCAGTGACTAAAATACTTTATTTCTGACCTTGTAATTAGTTCATTAATTCATATTGGGACAATTTGATGAGACAATTTTTGAAGGTGTTTAATGTAGAGAATGTCTTCAGATAATTATTCATTCTTCTGCATGATAATGTAGCACACAACAATGAGAAATTGCTGCAGTGAAACAAATGAGTAATATATTTTCCAAATAAATCAATAAAAAGTAAGAACCTGTGAACTTGGTCAACATTAAGAAAATTCAGAAGCACACAGTGCACATTGTAGGCTTAATCTGATTATTTGCAATGAAACTGACCATCTGTCCATCCTTTGCCATTTTTTTAATGTCATTAATAATCTTCTTCTCCTGACCTTCCATCTTCATGCGCTCCCTGTCCAAATCTCTCATGGCCTTATTCAAGGCACGTTGATTTTTTCGCAGCATTTCTTCTGGCGTCATTCGACGCCCAAACAACCATTCCAGTGGCATGTTTTCTTTTATGCTCTTCTTGGTGTACCTCACTAAACCTGGAAAAGAGCACAAGTTTAGATCTACAATGAGTACTAATATCACACACATCTAGAAATGAGACTATTTATATGACACAGTTGCTCTGTGGCACATGTGCATGATAGGTGAGAGTACTTCTCAATTAATTTCTTAACCTGCACTTCCCTTTGGATTGTCATGGTGGCAAAGAGGGAATGCAATTCTGTTTCCTACATTACAAACAATTTTTCCATCGAAAAAAGGAAGCATGAGAAGAAATTATGAAGAGTGGGAATAATGCAGGCGAAAAATTCAGATCTAACTTAAGACACCCACCCATGGGAGAAGCCTAAGATTGGTATAGGTACAGCTAAAAAAACATCAGACTGAGGTGAAAAAACTGCAGTGGCCTTGTATTGTTCCACCATACAACCAAAAGGTTGTTTGGTTCATTCCACAGAATGCAAGACATTATCAGAGAAATCCCACCTGAGATGAAATCATGCTAATAATAGACAAAATGACTTTGTCATAATTGTCCAAATATGGCAGCATCTGAGGATAAATGAATTGTAGGACATGATATCCCATGGCAAGCTGTAGCATTAAAATAGTCCTCCATGAAAGTGTACTTGGTTCAAAGTAATAGAGTATACAAGAACATACTTTCCTAAAGTTAAATCATCAAAGAATTTTCAGGCAAGAGTTGATAAGGCTTGTATTCATTGCTGACAATTAGTCCTGAGGGCAACCTTAGGATATTTAGTGAGTGCCAGACAAGTAAGGATGCATGTACCCAGGCATATAAACACACTATGAAAGAGATTAGGCACTAGCTTCAAGAAGCTACTTTTGTAGCTCTTATCCTTTTTTTTTTTTACAGGGTCATGAATACTTTCCCATGCTTAGCTTTGACTAAAGGCCTTGGAGTATGTATTGATCATGGCACTTAAGATCAACATTTCTTTTGTTCCTATGCTTTATGCTCCTTCTCCATGCTTTTTCCTTTCATAGAAAAACTTTTTACTATTTCCACACCATGTCCCAAAAATAAAAACAAAAATTCTGCAAGAGAAAAATAAGAAAAAAACAATGGTAGCATTGAGGGTACTAGTCAATCAAATGAACCAGATAGACACATCCCCATAGGTTCACCAATGATCGGTGCAGGATCCTGAAACAGTCACCTGCACTACTGGCCAAAAAGAGGGTTTTGCCTGCAAAATCTCACATTCGAGCTAAAAGTTTATCCTCTGATGTATCAATGGCAGTTAAACCTACCTACTTTGATCCAAATATAATGCAGAAAACTTAAGTCCATAATTAATACAGCAATCTTACCATCATAAAAACACTATGAAAAATATGGCCTAAAAATAGGTGGTGTCCTTTTTTAGCCTTCAAAATAGAATTCACAAGTCTCAACATACATGACCAGAAGCAGAAAACTGGAGTACCATAACAAACATCACTAATAGCTTCAAGCAGCAATTGATTGTTCCTCCAGCATTTGATTGATATCTCAGAGATGCTCGATAGGGTTCATATTACTCTGCCAGGATAAGCATATTAGAACCTCCTCTGAGACAATAGAAGTTGGCCTAGGTTTGTAAATACTCTCTATGCAGTCAGCTTTGGTATTTATTACTGTTCAAACTCATACAAACAATGGATTTAAATTATAGCCATTAGTTACTGATAGGAAAACCCTGCATCATCACTAATGAGACTTACAAGGTTCTGGAGTTGAACCTATCAGTAAGGGACCATTTAGCAGACATAAAAGGTTACAGTGACTTCATATTGAGCTTTCATTCCCCTGTCTACAATTCTTCCGCTTAAAAATGATACCCCTTTACCACTGTCCAAGGCGGCAGCATTGATGTGACCCTTTGACACGAATTTTACGGTTCCGTGGAAAACGGATCCATTACAAAGGAGAGCAAATTCAAATCCGATACGAATACAAGCTTGGCTTAGTCCTAAGCCAATCCAGTGCTGCCTTTCAATGGGTTGAGTCCTGCGCTGATTAGCCTCTAAAGGGAATCCGAGAGGAGTCAGGAGGCCTAGCTCCAACTTCCGTCTACAACTCAATCAGAACATATCACAGTCGTATGATAGGCCTAAACTTACGCCAACCACCCAGACCACAATAATTAAAGGCCTCAGCTCACTGGTGGACCGTAGAGCCCAGCCGCAAGCTTAACACGAGAGGATTTACGCCCGATGTCACATGGTTATGCCTCTATCTCAGCGTATGACGAATCCTGACTTCCGAGGGCAGGTGACCAAGAGTGGCGCCATTGATGACGCATGCTCCTGCACTCAGCGTGCAGTTCTCGTGGTTACGGATTTAATGAGTTTATTCTCAAGCGGACTAAGTCTGTAGTGATGGATGTTTTCTATTTCACCTGTAAAATTTCATCCCTTTTGAGGCTCTTCGTATCTACAAGCTCTCCTTATGACTATCTTCTGAATCATTTGTAGAGTGTAGCCAATAAAGGGTGCTGGTTTACAATACGTAAAGATCCTAACTTCATTTTATCACTCCTTGCCTAATAGCCCGGATGGGATTTCACCTTCAACATCCTCTTGATCTGCACAAGGCTTTCTTTGACATAGAACCAATGGCGGCACCGGGCGCACACCCCCTTCCGCATCGCCAGTGGCGTAGCGAGGGGGGGCTGGGGGGGACTTCAGCCCCCCCAAGTTTGGTTCAAGCCCCCCCAACTCTGGTCGAAATGCGTCTGCCTCCACCCCGACGAGGCGAAGTTAGCCCCCCATTGACGAAAACCTGGCTACGCCACTGCGCATCGCCCATATTACCTGAAGTCGATTTCTGTAACAGTTGCAACTACCTACATACAGTAAACTTCGAACTGAACTTTAGTTTCAATCAGAGCAACTTTCTTCATGCATGATGTGATGTAACAGGGGGGCAGTTGAGTACAATTGACGGTGAGAATCGATGCTCCACCACTCCTTAAATGTCTAAAAATCCAGGAACAGGAAGACAATGAAGAGCAAGTGAAAAGCAGAGACAGCAGTCACTTTATTGCGACATCAAAATGCACTTCTCTTCCATGTGACATACAGGATATAGGTAACATAATTTCAAGTATTGGAAGGCAATGTGCTTGATCCATATCCAAGGTCCATGCAGAAGAGAAAATATTGTTCACCAGGAACCCAGAGCTCAAAATCACCAGCATTTTCATTAACCAGCCAATCCAGCCTTCTCTCGACATTTTTGCATCAAAGCACGGCAACGAAACTGTTGTCTAGAAAGACTACGCACATGTTTCAGGAAAACTTCTATATCAATGATGCCTCTTCGTCGTGCTTCTCCCAAATAGTAGATGGCATCTTGAGTAGCATTCTCCTCAGCATACAGGTTGAACAACCTTGAAAAAAAAATACCATAAAGAGCATGTAATTAGAAGATTTTCACTGTCAAAATTCTGTTGAACACTGCATCAAGCTCAGTTACAAACCTTCTACTCTAGCTTCAGAAATAAATATAAAGCATAAATCTACTACCAAAATGTTCCACAATCTCACTTGACTAAAAACCTACAAATTACATCCTCAAAGCTAGTGACAAGGAGATAAAGTAACAAACAGAGGGAATATTTGGGATCAGTTGAAATGGTGGTCCCCATGAGACACCTTAGGCACAATTTAATTTGAAAGATTTATGGCTTCCACCACATTCAGAGGGAAACAGAATCTTGGTTCATTGATCTAAGAATATTAAAAAAAAAAAGATAAACTTCTTGATTAATTCAAATGATACAAGAGTTCACAGAATAATCTTGAAGTCACCTGGACACTTAATTTTTTTTAAAGCATTTTTTCAAGCATTGTGTTGGTACACCACAGATATGGTGAAGGTTTGACAATTTTGAGTCACTTTTATTTTTTGACTGGGAGAAATTGGATCCTCATATTAATTTTAAATGTTTTAGTTACAGGACTTAGTGGATATTAATAAATATCAGTCTATGGGATGCTGTGACTTGAATATGAGGCTCCAAAGAAATGACTCCAGTGCTTCATAATATTCTTTAATTAGTTGTTTTCCTTCAGGTTACTAAAATATCTGTCATCTTCAAAGAGGTTCTTCTTAGTCCACCAAAGTAATTAAAAAATGCAAACTCATTGACAACAGCAAGATAATTTAACTTGCCACTATACAGTCTTTGTATGGTCAAATTGATGCCTTACCTGGGGTTACACATCTAGCTGACCAATCAAAAGGGTCAATCAATGGGAGAGGTAGGAAGACTTACTGCCTATAGAGAGGAGTTGTGGGTGTCACAGCCTCATCAACATCTATTTCTTCCTGTTTTTCTGACTTTCCAAGAATTCCATCCAATTCCTCTTCCTTTTCTTTCAGCATATTAATATTTCTATCCAATTCCACCTGTGGAAGAGCATGACTTTATGAAATACTAGATTCCCAGACTTTTCTAAACACTAGGGCCCAAATGCACAAAACTCATTTGGGGAAATAAAAGGACCTTTAAGCTAAAGAGCTCTTTTGCTCCCATAGTCCATGCATTCCAAAGGAGGTTTCAATATTCAGGCCTAAGTACCCTTAGAAGGTTTACAAGTTGGCAAAGATAGAAAGAAGGAAGAAATAAGAATCACTCTCACATTTGTCATCATCTTAAAACTCATTAAAAAAAAAAAAACCAAATTAAAAAAAGACAACTCATTGTGTCCCAAGAGAAATATACCAAGTTCAAGCATACACATGGCAATTTCTAAAAAAACAGATATTGATGGATCATTCCCACATCAAATGAACACAAAAAAAATGAAAAAAATTAAAATGAGAACCATCCTATTTTGATAGAATTTCCACCTTAAAGGGTCCATGGAGAAATTAATCCATGCTAAATTTCAGCTTCCAAGGCCAAGTGCTTTTGAAGTACTTCAATTAGAATATAGTGAAAAAATGATAATTTCTGATCCAGTGGTCTTCACTTAACCACCCCATCAGTTTACTTCTAATTAACATATAAAAATGAAATTAGAATTATTTTTTCAAGCTCATTTGATGCCCTTTCATCTGCTTCATGGAGTATGCATGAAAATAAGTCAAGTCAAATGATTGGACCTTGGACCTTTAATTTTAGAGAAAAGCTCATTCATATTTTTTTAAAATTTAAATTGAGATTCCTAACATTTTCTCTTTGGATACTTAGCTGTATTTATTTTAAATTTGGAACTGCCATGGGATCAAAAAAATATGAACAACAATGCAGCAGTAAGTGGTCAAGGGCAGAGAACATGCTGAAAAGCCTAGAGGCATCCAATTAGTGAAGAAATTTATTGATAAACCTTACGCTTGAGGTAGATAAATTTATATAATAAATACTATATAAATTTTCATCAAAGTGATGTACTGATAAATATAGGGATGCATTATATGGATGGAAGAAGATGGAAGCTCAATGGAAGGAGAAACCGCTTCACGGCCAGCATCCCAAGATCATGGATAAACCATCCATCAACTCGGACTATAGCTATAACTGGCTGAAGAAGGGATTGTTGAATGCCAAGACAGAGAGCAAAATCCTAGCCATTCAGGACCAGTGCATCAGAACTCGTAACTACGAGAAGCACATCCTGAAG